TGACCTCTGGCTTTGGCTGGTGCATAGCCTGCTCTTCCTCCCCCTGCAGCAGCAGCTTGCCTGCTGATCTGGCTCCCTGTCAGGCCCTCCTCTTTGGCTCTAATATCTCTCCTTCCTCTCTGAATGTTAAATCAGCTCCTCGCAGCTGTGAGCAGTGAGATGCAGGAAGCTGACTGGGCTTTCAGAGAATCTCAGAGTTGATATGGAGCTGGTTCTCCTCAGTTAGAAGTCAGTGGGTGTGATGCACTCTGCTGTGAGCAGCACTGAATGAAGCTCTGCCTCCTCCTCACAGCCAATATAAAGAGAAGGACTGATCCATTCTCCAGCCTGGGGGGGGGGTGCCTCCAGGCAGCTTTGCTCCTTGTTGAAAACGTCAAACATGCCAGATAATTACATTTCTATGTTTATCTGATGGGAATCAGACATCTGGACCCAGATGTGGACCTGCTGATGGATCGGATGGAGGAAAGTGTTTATTTTCAGCAGAAAAAGTCTCCCTGCAGCCTGATGGTTCAGTCCAGTTCAGTTATAGCTGTTGTAATCTGATCCTCAGCTGCTGTTCTTACCCCCCCACAACAACAACAACCAGGCCTTCATCATGGGGCAACATCACTGCACCAGTATTAATCATTACTGCCTGTTCTGCACATTAAAGTACAACCCAATGGAAAAATATACCCAAACATCAATTACAGCTATATAATCAAAAAACTTTATGGTTATCCACAAAAAGAGTCACGCTTTGCTGCTGAAATGTGTCGCATATTGAGGCTGAGAGGATTAATAAGAAAGCAGGTCAACTGTTGATCATTGCACATATTTCAGACAAAAGAAGTCTTCCTCAGAACAGAGAGTCTGAGCTCATCCCTGTTCATGCAGCGCCACCATGAGGTTGGAATTTACAGCTTCACTTTAAAAACTGGAGGAAACCACTGGGTGGGTGAGGATGAATAACCGCTTAGACATGTTTATGTTCCTCTTCAGCATGCATCCTAACAGCCTCCTCTCTTAGGGAGAGTCTGCAGCTCGAATACTTACGCTGCCTGATTATCTGCAGCGCTTTGCATGAAGCATGAGGCCTGAAAAACACTTTGGATCCAGAAATGTTCCTACAGCTGTAAATCAGCCCAGACCAGCGGTTACCCAACCTGTTATCCCATTGGACAAATACTCAGGACTATAAATCACTTTACATACAAAACAAATGTTTTGAAAAGTTTCCTTATTTGTTTGATTTAGGCTAAGGAAAATGGAAACATTTATTTCCAGTTTATTCTAAAACTTTTCCTGCTTCAAGCAAAGTTTAATCTAGCGGTAAAAGCCTGCTTTTTAAAGGATAAACACATTGTTGCAGTTAAAATTCTCTATATTATTTGCCCTAATCAAAATCATAGTTCTATTTGCATCAATCAACCAGGCGGAAATCCGTATGATTTTTGACCGTAGTGCATGGAGGCACAGCATGCTACCAGTCTAGCTTTCAACCCAGTGGTCCAAAGTCCAGATCTTGAAGGCTTTTGCCGTGTGTCTTCCCCTTCACGCTTTCATTTTCTGTTTGTTTACAACTGGAGGCAAGTTCTGGAGCTGTTTGACAAGTTCCTTTTGTATCTATGCTTCTTTTTCTATGTCTGCTTCTGTCTCCTTAAACCCCAGTCGGCCTCAGCAGATGGCCGCTCACACTGAGCCTGGTTCTGCTGGAGGTTTCTTCCTGTTCAAAGGGAGCTTTTCCTCTCCACTGTCGCTACAAGCATGCTTAGTGTGAGGGATTGCTGAAGAGTCAATGAGTCGATGCAATCAACTGGTTTTCCTTAGATAGAAAACGGAATCAATCTGACTGGATGATCTGTTGAACTGTAAAGTGCCTTTAGATGACATGTGTTGTGAATTGACGGTATAGAAATAAATTTAATCTAATTGAATTGAACTAGAATAATAAAACAAGTTGTGTAACAAAATATCTGCAGGCAGATGATCATGCAAAGTCAGTCCAGGGACTGAACAAGGCGCCCGAGCCCCACTTTGGACAACCTTCATTTGTGTCCTGGATGAGCCTTTCCTCTAATCCACTAGTCATAGACAATAATTGCAGTTTTCCTAAACATGATCAACAATCAACGTGCAACCTTTTTGTTTCACTAGTCGATACTCTGCAGCTTCTGAAGGTCTGAGGCAGGCTAAATATAAGGAAATCTATTTCTTTATTAACCTAAATTAACTGCCCTCTTTTCAGAGCTATGAAATATCCACATAACATCAACTAAGGCTCCTCTTTAGAGTTAAAGCCTGAACATGGAAGGGAAGTGAATATCTTTGCATCTAAAATATGTCACATCCTGTCAAAAGCGTTAATGTTTATTACTCCAGTAGAAGTAAAACAGAAGGATTTATACTTTATAATTAGAAGATCAACTTAAGATTTTTACTCAAGTGAAATTGTAAAAAGTAACATTTTTTAAACTACTTAAATGATAAAGGTAAAATGAATGCAATAAATAAATGTTAAGGACAGAAGCTTTCCTGCTCTACCATTTTAAAGGAAACTTTTTTCTTCAATTCAACTTCAACTTTAATTCAACTTCAGTTAACTTCAAAATGTTTAATTTTCTTAGTTTTATAACTAATGGTAACGGTGTTAAATTATACTCTGCCTCATCTTCAAAAACTATTTACTTTGGTTTGACACAAAAAAACAAATTCCAGACAAAGAAATTACCTGGATAAAACACATTATTTTGATGGTTTTTATTTTTTTTTTTATACCAAAAGACCATAATAGAAATGAGATTAAATGAAATAAAATGGGTCTATTTTTGTCAGGAGTAGAAAGTAGAGATAATTTCCAAAAAATGTAAGAAGTAGCGGCAAAATGTTGTCTAAAAAATAATTACTCCAGTAAAGTATAGATAGCCAAAATTTCTACTTAGATAAAATAATAAAGTATTTATACTTTGTTATTTGACACCTCTGCTTCCTCTTGAAATCATCAACGCTCAAATCTCAGCCAACTTAGAACAATGCAAAAAAACAAATAAATAAATAGATAAATTATTTCCGTATTTAAAAAGCTTTATGAGATTAAGGGGTGGGTAACCAAACACTCCTATTGGGAGACATGTTTATGTTCCCCCAGCAGTCATTATGGGCTCCACTAAACACAAGTCTAATGAAGCACTACTGACCCCTTGTGGATATTATATGCATTACAGATTTATTGATTTTATTGCAGAGAAAAAAAAACTAAAAGGCCCAAAATACAAACAAATCCTAACATCTACAATATGTAAAATTCATGGTTTTCATATAGGAAATAATATTTGAAGAGACAAATCATCCAATGACTTGATGCATAACAAAAAACACTTACTGTCAGAACTGCGAATGCTAACATTATACCATAGCCAGAACAATCCTGTCTTTCTATGTCTCGGAGTGGATTTCACTATTTTTTGTTTTTTTCAATCTTATTTCTGAGAAACTGACCACAGGTTCATAGTAGTAACTAAACAAGTTTTGCACAATTGACACCAATATTCTACATGCTTGTCATCACAAGTCTGGATCTTGCCTCTCAAGGTATAATTGTTGATGATCCAGTTATATGTCATGTCAGCTGCTTGTGAGATTGACTGCTGAGATGAAACAGCTAAAATGTTTCTGGAAAGTTCAAAGTCTGACCTTTCAACACCGTTATTAAATTATTCTAGGACCTAATTAAATAACAGAAAATATTGCATAACTCATTTCATTTGAAAAGAAGGGAGAAAAGAAAAAAATAAATACCATCTGAATATTTAAAAAAAAAAAGGTTAAAAAGAATCCACTGGACTTTGTTTCCAAGTTTGAAGACATTTCTCTTCCCATCCAGGAAGCTTTTTTAATTCAAAATACCAGAAATGGCGTTGAGTTTGAGGCTTTACAGAGTGGACCGAAAAACACTTTGTTTTGGCCGAGAAAACATGCAAATTGAACCGGACAAATGCGTCTTCGGCTCTTCACAACCACTATTGAGCATTTTACCTTTGGATAAACTTTACATGCACAACTGCACTCTCACAAAAAAACTACAGGTGCTTAAAGATTCACTTCCATACAGAAAGCCCATATTCTAATCTTCAGTTACCACAGTATACATGTCAGATTAAATAATACTACTTATACTTCAGCAATAGTATCTAGGTGTTACTTTATTGTATATCTTATACTATATCCGTTGGTTGAGCTGTTCTTTTTACATCTCTTTGCAGGTCATGAAGCAGACTGAAGATGTTTTATCTTTATCTCCCTTTTATCTCCTCTTTCTCTCATCTTTTTTCCCTTTTTCTGTTTTTTCTTTCCTGTTCTACTTACATTGCAGTGTCCATATAATCTGTAAAACTCCCTGCATAATTATAATAGAGCTATTTATATGCATAAATCAAGCGGAACACGATGGCGATAGCAGTACTGCTCCACTGGGGAAAGTAAAATCTGTTGGGCTCTTTTTGGCATCAAGACGATAATTCTTATTGCCACATCGCCAAACAGGAAGGTTAAAAAAAAAAAAAGGCGAAAAGACCCCCCTTCCAAAGGGATGGACGCCTTCGTCTGTTCCAATTTGCATGTTTTCTAAACAAAAACAAGACTTTGTTGGGCTACTGTATAAAACCTTAAACTCAAAGTTATTTCTGGCATTTTCAATTGAAAAAGCTTCCTGGATGGAAGAGAAACGTCTTCAAACTTGGAAACAAAGTCCAGTGGATTGTTTTTAATTTCTTTTTTTGGATGAATATGACCTGGATGACTGAATCTTCACCAGCAAAGTGGAACAAATTAAAATGCACCACCTGACCAACCTGGTCAGCTAAGTCAAAGTTAAGCAATAATGGAATAAAAGCAGAAATTAACTAAATATGACCCAACAGATACAGTTTTATAAGTCTCCATAAAACAAAAGCATTCCATAGACACATGGAGATGAATAAAATCACATGACTGAAGTGAAAAAGCTTCCTGTCCGTCAGGGGAATTCTAAATAAAGTTTTTTTTTTTTTAGCATTCAGCTGCTGCATCATAAACAAACATGGCGGCGGACTGAAAGCAGCGTGGTGCATGGCGCGTGTTTTGAAGCTGCTCTGCTTGTGGAGAAATGTCCTGGGCCGTGAGTAGTGAGGAAACAGGAAGCGATTCTTGTGGGATGGAAGAGGGAAATAGTGACAATGAAGGTTGGAAGATAGCAGCATCAAAAAATGAGAAAAAGCGGAAAAAACAGAGATCAGTTAAAGGGGAATCTAGTTCAGAACAATCCAGTGATGATCAATCCATACATTCCACAGCACAACAAAATGAATTCAAAGTCATATTCAAAGTCGTTAATCAGGCAGACTCTTTTACAAACTGGAATCCGGTTCACTTAACAAAAACCATCAATAAACTTGTTGGAGAAGTCAGAGGTGCCAGAATTCTGTACAGTGGAGACCTGCTAATTAACTGCAGAGACAGCGCCCAGCAAGGCAAAGCAATACGTATTAACAAAATTGACGGGATAAGAGTTCAGTGCAGCCTAATGGAGAACAAAAAGATCAGCAGGGGAGTCATTGGAGGAGTTCCTCTGAAAATTTCTGAAAAAGAGATTCTGGAAAACATAAGCGGTGCAAAAGTAAAAGAAGTAAAACGGTTAAAAACAACAAGAAACGGAGAAAGATCTGACAGTTTATCTGTACTAATTAAATTCGAGGAAGAGCAATTACCAAGCAAAGTATTCATCGGTTACATCAGTTACAATGTCAAAATCTACAATCCACCACCATTGAGATGTTTCAAATGTCAAAAATTCGGACACATTGCAGCAGTTTGTAAAGGGAAACAGAGGTGTGGAAGGTGTGCAGGAGAACATGAATATGGTAAATGTGGAAAAGAAGCTAAAATAAAATGCTGTAATTGTGGTGGAGAACATACTGCTGCTTATCGCGGCTGTGAAGCAAGCAAAAGGTCTGAAGAAATAAAAAAAATGAAATTTGAGCTTGGAATAACTTATGCTGAAGCTGCAAAAAGGATCCCATCTCAGTCAGAAAAACCCAAACCTACAGTTCAACACACGGCAAATTTCAAACCTCTAGAGAAATCTCCAAAAATTGATGAAGACTCACTAATTGTTAAAAAGACAAATTTTGTTCTTTTCATGGTGGAAGTGATTAATTGTACTGCTCAGACGACAAAAAAAACAGAAAAAATCAAAATAATAGTGAAGGCTGCAGAAAAATATCTGGATGTTAAAGATATGAACTGGGAGATGGTTGGAAGCATGATGGAAAGACCAATGGGACCATCAGAAACTGGCAGAGGTACGATGACCTAGAGTAAATTAAAATTATACGGGCAAATGTAATTTAGTATAATTTAGTATTATGTGGGTTTAAGTTACACAGGTTATTTTATTGTATTTTTTTTTTTTTTTTTTTTTTTTTTTGGGGGGGGTGAATCGTTTCCTGTTTCCTTGCTTTACTCCATATCAGTTGGTGGCGGTAATGCACATTTCACAAGTTTGCCAACCGCCATAAAATCTCATAAGAAGAAGAAGACTGAAAGCAGCGGCGGACGCTCTGTGACGCTGTTTTAATTAAGAGGACGGGTTTTTAATGTTAGAACTGGTTCGGTTGGTTTCGTAGCGGATCAGGATGGAGCCTGGCCCGTTTCCAGAGGAGGTTCCGGACAGGAAAGTGCGAGTGGTCGGTTCCGAGCTGGTTGAGAGCTACACGGTAAGCCTGCTAGCTAACGATCATGATATTAAATTAAACCTTCAGGTTCTCTGTCTGTTCTGGGGCTGCAGCTAACCTGTTTAACTCTGTAGCTGCTGTTTTTAATTAGAAATATGCAACTCATTATTTAAAATGAGCATTAAATTACTTCTTATTAAATTATTAAATCACAAGACTGAACATTCCTGTCAGAGGTGGCAGATTTGGGTAAACTATGTAAAACTTAAAAGATCTGAGACCTAATTTGATCTACTTTCCTATGACAAACATATTTCATTATTATTTTAAACTATGTTTTTCAATTGTTTTTTTGTTGTTGTTTCATCTTTCCCACTCTTTACCTATTGATTTATAATCTTTCTCAGGAAAGTGAGGTTTATTTTACCTAATTGTCCACCTTATTTTTATAATGTTGTAATTAATCTTTTGATGTACTGGCCTAAGTTTTTTTTTTATTAAACTTTCTTGAGAATCAATAAAGATAAAATAAATAAAAAATATCAATGAATTAACATGGCTTAAGTTGAGTGGGGGATTTAGTTCAATTTTGATGATCAAGATTTAAAGATAAACTAAAATTCATTGTCTCAAAAACTTAGATTTAAAAAAATCTGATCAATTAAAACAGCATTTCTAAACCGGAAGTAATTAGTTATGGTCCTCATAGTCATGGGGAAGTCTGCTGACAGTCATCATGGACCCTCCATTAGCAGGGGAAGATCCAGGAGGTCATTCATGCAGAAGCTGTATGTTTGCAAGCATTTTAATAGAAACTTAAGTGGAAGGAAAAAGTGTGGAAGTAAACTGTACATGAGCAACATCGACAAATCCAAGGCATGAGCTACAGCTGTCTCACTGTTTCAGTCCTGAACCAAATAGACTCTTTTAACCATGAGTTTCATACTGGCTCTGTGGCGAGGATAGTTTGGAAACAAGTCTGTTTTTAACAGATAACGGAGCAAAACTTGCTGTTTTTTTAAGATCGGGTTGAATCAGACACTCAGTCACATGCAAAATTAATGTAAATGTAATGCGAATATAACATCGGAGCAGGCGACACGAGGTCAATGAAAATTCCTCTACAGGGTTTAATTCAGGGATTATGAAACCAGTTTTGTTGTTTTCTTTTTGTTTCAGGTTTACATCATCGATGTTACAGACGGTCTGCATAAGTGGACTGTGAAGCACCGCTACAGCGACTTCTATGACCTCCATGAGAAGGTGAGGCAAATATTTAACCCTAAAGCGCCACCCTGCAAACCAGTTTCACTGCATTTTAGTTCAGGTGATCTCTAATGTGAATGCAGCAGAAATCAGACAAATTCCTTCACTCTCAAGTCTGATTCATTTTATTCAGTGTTTGAGATAAAGATCTGAAAAATGACACTCGAAGAAACCTTTTAACAAAAAGATCCTCTTTGTCGTTTCTCCAGCTGACAGCAGAGAAGAAGGTGGACCGGCGTCTACTTCCTCCTAAGAAGATTTTAGGAAAGAACTCAAAGAGTTTGGTGGAGCGGAGGCAGAAGGAGCTGGAGCTCTACTTACAAACGCTGCTTCAGCAGTTTCCAGAGGCCACGCCCACCCCTCTCGCCTGCTTCCTGCACTTCCACCTCTATGTGAGTATCACCTGAGCAGGTGGACTCCGGCCTGTTAGTTTATAGTCCTAACCAGAGCTTTTAAGAGGAAAAAGTCCCAGCTCCAGCTTCATTGAGATAAGGTGCCATTAGGACTCATTTTTAGAAAACTCATGATGTTTATGGTTTCCTCTTAAACAGCCGTCATCACTTGGTATCTGAAAGGGTCTTTAGAGAAGGAAAGTGCTGCCAGATCAGCCATTTGGCAGCAAAATAGAAAAGAAATATGTTTTATTGTCCAACAGCAGGCAGATTCAGGTGTATCAGCAGGAAGTTAGTTTACAGCATCATGAAAAGTACTGTATAGTTATAAGAAAAAAACTGCAAATTCAGGGAAAAGATCATGTGCTTCTGGGTGGAATGATTTAAAACTGTAGAAAGCTCATAGTCCTAAAAGAAAATACCAACAAACTATTTATATAAAAAAATTAAAAAAGCTGTCTGGACATATTCAGTCTTTATCATTTTTATAATGGTAATATTAGCCTCTAGTTATTTATGTTGTGTTAATTCTGAGATTAGGTGACAAATTATTTGATATTTTTTTTTTTTTTTTTGTTTATTTGTTTTTTTTGGTCATCAAGAAAGAGCCGTGAGAATGTTAATCATAAGTGGAGGATATTTGACCAGCATGCACTGGGGTGGGCCTATGTTTCTATTACCAGTGCAGGCGATAAACTGCACTGGTAATAGAAAAATAAACCCCAAATAAGCAACATTAAAAGGTCTGTTCATTGGATTTCTTTAGTCTATGAAACACACCCACAGAGCAGTAGCGGCTAATAGATCAGGGATGTTTAAATGTTTTGGTTTGACAAACAATATGTTCCGATGCACTATCCAAAATATCAGGATTAGGGCTGCAACTAACGATTATTTTAAAAATCGATGAATCGGCCGGTTATTTTTTCAATTAATCGATGAATCGGACAAAAAATATTTTTTATATTAACCTCTTTATTCCAAAATAAACATTTTAGACAGAACAAACAAGAACACGAGTACAGGTTGCTCATTAACTGTACTGGTGCAATATGAAAAATAAATGTTTGTGTTAAAACTACGCAAACTTACATGAGAAATGTAGCTGTACATCCACAAAATATAGGCTAATTTGTCTCATAAAGTGCATAAAAAGACATTTTTGTTTTAAAACCTTTAAAGCCCGATCCAAGAATAAAACAAAACTAAATATTACTTCTTTTTGGTTTGAAGTAAAGGAAAAGTCCGGTCAGCAAGGAATAACCAATGGATCATTATTTATACCTAAAACTAATACGTTTGCAGTGATTTAAGGAATTTAGCATTAATCAGTAAATAAATAAAAACAATAATTTTTGTTTCAATCCCTGAGTCTGGGAGCGGCCATTTTTTCCCAAATATATTAACCCCTCCCTCCTGCCATCTTCCAGCAGTGACGTCACGGTGCGGTAAGCCTAGCGCCATTCTCCCCGCTTTACAAGCTAAATCAATGGGAACTACTAGACACATCTGCAATCAACAACAATTATTGAAGATTTCCAGAGGACTTCACCATTGAAATTCACCAGAGCTATAGTGAAACTGACAATGCCCACGTGCATGGCAGCTGGATGTTGGAATACATCGGGTAAAAGTGAAAAAAAAGTTATTCCACCTTTCTGATTCCTGATCCTCCACGGACGGGTTGGTCGTTGGATCGCCAACTTGAAGAGGGAGGATTTGCCATCGAACTTCTGGCCAGAGAAAAAACCCGTAATATGTAGCCAACATTTGGAAGAAGAATGTTTTCAAGATGACTTGGATAATAGCGCGTTGTGACAAACACCAGATACAGCACTGGGACTTGATCAACAGCCGATACCGCACCGTGACGTCACAAACCAGTAGGTGGCAGTAGTGTTCTTTGACAAACATGGATTCCTCCAAAGTTTGGATTCTGAATATAACCGGAATTTTCCTTTAAGGGACCTTCTAGAACTGAGCCAGTCTTCCTGATTCTTGAAAAAGGAATAGAGAGCAGCTTCTCATTTTCTTTGTAGATGTAAAGTAATTTCATCTAAACGGGACAAAAGTCTGTGATAACAGCTGGATTTGGAGTTTTCCTTTAACCCCTCCTGTTTTAAAGGACCTAACATGCTTGTTGTTGTGGCCGCGGTGAGTTTTAGTTCTGAGAGGATGGATCTCATGATCAGAGGAACACCAGCTGCCTGTTGCTGGATCCCTCAGAACAGAGAGGTCCCATTGAACAATGAGCTCAGATGCTCCACATGTGACCGTCAGGCTGGACGTCACTCAGAATGCCTCCTCATTGTTTTTACATCAGTTTCCTTGCAATCTGATGTGTCGACTGTTGATTAAAACATTCAGTTTATTAGGTCTGAAATAAACCAATTTAAATCTCTTCTTTCAGGAGATTAACGGCATCACAGCGGCTCTGGCTGAGGAGCTTTTCCATAAAGGTCAGAAGAATCTTTTTTGTCTCCTTTGCAGCTCTGCTCAGCTTTTGCTTTGGTTTAACCCGGCCTCCCCTCCTTTGCTAAAACAAGATCTATAGATATTTATAAAAATACCTGTTTTTATTTCCCTTCTTATTCATTTATTGCTAAAATGGAACTGCAGTCATTCCTTATTTGTGAGACAAACTTAGTGATTAAAGCTGATTCTGAGAACATTTAAGCCTTAATTAGATTCGACAACCTGTAGGAAAGGTTATAAATGCTGCAGCAGAAGACAGGAATGTTTTGCTTATTGTTTGTAAAGCATAAAGAAAGGAGACCTGGATCAGGATTTCATGCTTTAGTTCGGATTGTTCTTCTATCTGCCGACCTTTCCTGGAGGTTTGAGTTGTGATTCTGTGCTGCAGGAGAGCAGCTTCTGCAGGCAGGAGAGGTGTTTACCCTTCGCCCTCTGCAGCTTTACTCCGTCACTCAGCAGCTCCGACTGGCCAAGCCCACCTGCTTCACCGGAGACGCCAAAACGGACCTGGGTCACATCCTGGACTTCACCTGCAGGCTGCGCTACCTCAAGGTACCAGAGTTAGCTCATTTAAGCGTCCTGCATGTTTGAGGTGCAGCCAGCGATGACCATGCTGGTCCTGTTTGTGCCGGTCAGATTTCAGGGACCAGAGGTCCGGTTGGAACCAGTAACATCCAGGAGAATAGCCTCTCCTTCGACCTGTCTGTTTTCAAATCACTGCTGCAGATTGAGGTAACGTCTGCTCCTAAAACACTCCTCCGTTTCTGCTGTGTTGAAGGACAAAGTCAAATAAAAACGCCTCTTTGACTCCGTCCTCAGATCAGCGACTGCATCGCGCAGCGGGTTCAAGGTCTGCCGTCTCTGAGATCCACCCTGGCTACTCTCAGCATCCACCGCTCCACAGAGTCCATGATGGTGCGTTTGCTCAGAAGCTGAACCCAGAGTTCGGCCGGTCCAGTCGCTCCTTTAGGGCTGATCTGTATTTCCTCTGCCGTCCAGTCCGTCCTCGTCCCGGAGGCCAGCGAGTTCCCGCAGTGGGAGCCTGAGGGGGTGGAGTCTGGGTGTCCGGTCACCGCCGTGGTTCCTGTGTGGAGACAGCTGACCACCCTGGACATGAGCCACAACTGCATAAGCACCATCGACGACTCTGTGGTGAGAAGGCTTCGTCTAAATGTTTACTTTTAACCAACAGGGAGGTAAAAATAACTAAACTTTTAAAACCTTTTAATTCCCTCTTTGTTTGAATCACTGCAGAACTTCAGGCTTTAAGGAACACAGACCTGATTGTTGCAGCTAAGATGATCTAAATCAGACTAAGACAGAAAGAGAAAAATTATTCAGTTCAATCGGATCTAAAACCGGAACCATTTCAGAACCAGTTCCACGTTTAATGCAACGCTTTTCGTGTAGAAATAAACTATTAGATAAATTGATATTTTGAGCAATGATGGAAACATAAGAATGTAAAAGAAGCTGCAATACGTTAAGATCCATAGGCGTTTCTAGACGTGGGCGAGCAGGGGCCAGTTCCCCTTTAGAACCGGTCCTGGCCCCTGTTGGCCCCCTGAGCTGAAGACTGATTGGGCCTCTCAACTCATTCTATTTTTTTTTTCATAACTGTTCTGTTTTGATCATGATTTAGGAAATATGGTGATAGATTCTGTCATATTGGGATGGGATTCCAGTTTTCATCTAAATATTATTTTTAACCAATTTCAAAATATTTTGTTAGAGCTACATTTATCAGTAGCTCTCTAATTCTAATTCTGATTGGATTAAAACTGATCGTTTTCATTTAAAATAAGTGAGATATATTTAAAAGATCCTGAATTATGAATGAACATTGACATAATATTCCTAAGATTAACTTCATTTAGCTTTTATTTTGACCTCAACAGGGTTCCCGCGGGTCCTTAAAAAGTCTTAAAAGGCATTGAATTCTTCAAAATAAAACTAAGGCCTTAATTGATATTAAAATGTCTTAAATCAGTCTTTCATAGGTCTTAATTTTTAAAACATCATAAATATGATTATTTTTATTATGATTTATTTTTGTAATCTAAATAAAACATTAAAATGGAAAAAAAAAAAATTTTATCAATAAAAAAATAACGGCTCGCCATTATTGGTGCGTCCCGATAGTGGAACCAATAAAAGCGTTGTTGCGGCCGGGACATTTGGGAGATGCACCATTAACTTTTTTTCTGGAAAATATGAGCAAGTGTAAATGTAACCAAAATTGTCTCCAGCCAAGAGTTTTCTCCATGGCTAAAACCAGGGAACATACATGAGGCTCAGTGGATTTATGCAAGAAGTCATCCAAGCTCAGAACGATGGGAATGAAGGGATATTTTAGACATAAACCAAAGTTTTCTCTTGTCTTGCTCTGAATGGAATATTTTTTGTAGCCGAAGCTTTCCTCATAGCGTTGAATCACAGTCCATGTCCATCCTTGGTCCTGGACGTTGCTGTCAAAGGTTTGATTCCCGACCTGGTGACCTTTGCTTCACAATTCTGAAAATTAAATTAAACCCTCCTTTCTAAAATCAGCATAAAGCTTAAGGTCCATGGTAGTGGTGGCATCATGCTCTGGGCTTCTGAAAGAAAAGGAGCCCAAAGCGAGGTGCCACCATGTTTCCCTGTGTGTCTGGTGTTCTTTAGGGCAAAGGTTCCCAAAGTGGGGGGTTTATGAGATCACAGTCGATGTGATCCCTGACGTATAAAGAAGGCCAAAATATATACATGTATATTTACCACAAAATAAAAAAGATGTACCATGAAATAAGTAGATGTAATGTTTATTTATTTATTCTTCCATTAAATTTAGTACTATTAAATATTAACCTGACTCCGTCAGATGGATTTGCTCCGAATATCCATCTAGAAACCTTCCGTTGCAGTAATTTTGGGAAGGGGTGAAAGTACTGGTTAGCTGATTGGCCTATGTTGGTGATAGACGGGCCAAATAAACCAATCAGATCAACGAAGCATATGAGGTACTAACAGAGCGACAATGAAGAGGAGCCAATTGATAGATCAAACTCTTGCCGAAACCAGTCGGGAGGAGAGCAAAAACATCTTTTCCTCTGAGAAAAGCCTCCAGAGCAGTGTTTTGCTCTTCTTTCAGTGAAGAAATACTCTGTAATTCTGATAAAACTTGCTCGATAGCCATGCTGACGCTAGTTTCATCGGCTGAAGCCGCCATGTTCTTTAGACTGAACTGTCTCGCTTCTCGTTGCGTCACACCTCAACCCGCCTCAAAGCCAACGCTGATTGGACGTTCGTTTGGTGAACGGCTCCAAATTTTCTTTAACGGAGAGTCTCCAGACTGATCTGCGAGTGAAACCTTGAAAGCTCGCCAGATCAGGATGGTCTCAGGATGGGCTAATTAAATATACCAATAAAGTATAAAATGTAAAATTTAATTATAAAATGTCCCAAAAGTTCATTAAGAATATATTTAAAATGATACATAGGCTCTGTGTTCTGACTGTTAGTTTCCTCCTGTTCCAGAAGCTGATCCCTAAGGTGGAGTTCTTGGATCTGAGCTACAACCAGCTGTCGTCTGTGGAGAATCTGCAGGTACGTCACACAAAGCTGGACCCTTCTTCCTGTCTGTCGCAGCCGTCCAGCTTTAAATCCTTTAAATATTCACAGGCTCCATCTTTATCTTGGTGTGTTTGCGGAGCAAAGCAGCTGAGGGCTCCGTCACACCTTGCTGATTTATCCAGCGTATGCCTGACGTCCCAGAATCTCCTAAAACGCTGGCATACAGCCAACTTTCTAAGTATTTTTTAAATTTTGAGCATATACATAGAGTATTCATAATGAGTCCAGAACTTATGTCCAATGACAGCCTAACTTATGCATAATGCACGGCAGACACACTTATGCATAAAAAACCAGCATCGTTTAGTTTTGCATTACGAAGAAGGCGCCCGATCTACATAAAAAGATGTATTTGATCGGGGTATTAACCTAGCTGCTGTTTACTGCCCGCCCCCCCAAAAAAATGAGAATAAATAAAAGGAAAAAAAAAGAAAAAAAAAAAAGGGTTGTAGTCGTAGCAGATTCAGCTTCATGTCTGCTAGGAAGTTTGTTGGTGGTGGGCGTGAATGCAGGAGGATCCATCACACTCACCTTCTGGCTCACCCTATGATGGGGATGAAGTCTGGAGGTTTAGGATAAGCCGGACGCCGGCCTTATGAGTAACTTACACTCAGCGTTTCTCAACGATCAGATAACTTACCTTTAACTTATGGCTCATGTATGAGCGTACGCTGGCACACGTCGGGACATTTTGAGCATGCTGAAAATGTCTCTACGTACTCCCCGTAGGTCGACGTGTTTCAGCGTACTTCAGCATGCTCATAACTTATACAAAACGTACCCCTAACTTATCCAACCTATGCCCAGTTGTTGCCAGACTTTCCATACGTCTGACATACACTGATCTAAATAATCAAGGTGTGACAGGGGCTTGAGGTTCATTTTATTGAATAAAAAGTTTCTTTTTTATACCATAAAGGTTAAATTAAAACTTTTCTTAAAGTGTTGAAATCATAAAGGAACATCTGAGAACTTAACAGAGGGTCTGAATTTGCAGTTTTACTGTTTCTCTTTGATGAAATCCTTTTTCTTCAGCCTCGATCTGTTGGATCCTGAACACTTTTCATTCTGACCTGCTTGTTTTGGGGTTTGCTTGTGTGTCTGCAGCACCTCTACAACCTGGTCCACGTGGACCTGTCCTATAACAGCCTCCGGAGCCTGGAAGCAGCTCACACTCGTCTGGGGAACATCAAAACCCTGAGCCTGGCTGGGAACCAGCTGGAGAAACTGATGGGCCTCTCAAAGCTCTACTCTCTGGTCAACCTGGACCTCAGCCACAACCAGCTGGCCCAGGTAGCCCAGTCAGCACATGCTGAACTTCATTAACACTTATAACCCTGAAATCAGTTTCAGCTCTAAATGGATGTGGGAAAGAAACCAGAGTTTGGAACATTATTGGCTCTGTTCTGCCGCTGAAAAACACAAAGTTTAAGCTCCATCTAAAGATTCTCTATTGGGTCTCGGTCTGGAGTCTGGCTAGGCCACGCCAGAACCTAGATATGCTTCTTCCAGAGTCACTCCCTGGTCATCCAGCCTGTGAGCTTTGGGTCATAGCCATGCTGGAAGAACCAGCCTCCACCCATCTTCAGTGCTCTAAATGATGGAAGGAGGTTGTTCCCCTAAATCTCCCAATACATGGCCCTGGTCATCCTCTCCTTAATACAGTGGAGTCACCCTGTCCCATGTGCAGAAAAACACCCCATGATGCTACCACCACCATGCTTCACAGTAGGGATGCTGTTCTTGGGATTATACTTATCATTCTTCCTCCAAACACGGTTTGTGGAATTATGACCAAAAACTTCTATTTTGGTCTCATCTGACGTGACTTTCTCCCATGACTCCTCTGGTTCATCCAAAGGGTCTTTTGCAAACTAAAGACGGGCCTTGAAATGTGCTGGTTCATGCAGGATTTCAGTAACCATGGAAACGGTTGTCTCAGCCTAATGGATGTCTAAAATTTAGTCTGTAGTGTCTTTGGACAGCTCTTTGGTCTTTGCCATGTTAGTAGTTGGATTCTTACTGATTGTGTGCGGTGGGCGGGTGTCTTTATGCAGCTAATGAACTCAAACAGGTGAATCTAATGTAGGATAATAATTTAATGTGGACATTTGGAAGGCAGACTAACAGGTTTTTTACAGTCAGAATTCTAGCTGATAGATGGGCGTTCAATTACTTACTTGCAGCTGGATCATACAAATAAACAGTTTTAAAAAATCATATATTGTGTCTCACAGTGGACATGCACTTACGATGACGATTTCAGACCCTCCATGATTTCTAAGTGGGAGTTTGCGAAATAGCAGAGCGTTCAAATACTTGTATTCCTCACTGTCTAGTTGTTAAAATGGCTTTGAAGCACTAAGGACTCTGGGAAATGGGGTTTGAGCCATAAATGTTTATGTCGGCTCTTTTTTTTTTCCCAGTTGGAGGAAATCAGGAACATCGGCGCTCTGCCGTGCCTGGAGAAACTCAACCTTTCCAGTAACCCCATTTGCATCATCCCAGACTACAGAACCAAAGTCCTGGCCCAGTTTGGAGACCGGGCAGCAGAGGTACATCTTCACATTTGGATTCGAAGTTCTGAACCTGGTCGCATTCAGAGCTCGGCCAGTTTGGTTAAGATAAAAGTTGATGAATCGTCTAAAAATAATGTTTAGGGAAATCACTCCAGCCTGTCTCTGAAGCTGTCATTCTAACGTCTCCTGGACTCTGGCAGGTTTGCTTGGACTGTAAAGTGACGACAGAGAAGGAGCTGGACACAGTAGAAGTGCTGAAAGCCATTCAGAAAGCCAAAGAGGCCAAAGACCGCATGAGCCACAACGACAAGAAGGTAAAGACCGGCCGACTCCCACAGGGAGCTTCACATCCAAACTAACAGACTGACCTGGTGAAATGTTGGCGCCTCCTGCAGCTGCGTGTATATGGCAAAAATCCGTCTGACCACTGCTGCATGCGTTTTCATTCGTTGATTCGAGGTCCTTAAAGAGACATGGTTCTCCTGTACATTTACAATCAAGCAGACAATTGTGTTTAAAAATATCGTTTCTGCCACCCAGCCTGACTTCCTATTTCCAGCATAATGGGAAAATAGTCCGGCTAGAATCCTGGAGATGATGCTAAATGATCAGGTGACTGTTTTAGATGTAGTGATGGGAGCCTGTACAGGTCATACAATGTCCATTTATGACATAAAGTCCGATTCAGAGCTGGTTCAGTACAGTTTTATTATTAAAAACAATCATGAGGTCTAAAGGCGTTTGGTTCCTGTCCATTGAGGCACAGCTGGCAGCAGAAATCCCTCCTACTGATCAACCACGTTTCAGGGAACCAGTCGACTTTAACCTGGAAAGAACCAGACTCAGAATGATCAACAGAGACGGAAAAGACCTAACCTGACTCCGCCAGATGGATTTGCTCCGCATATCCATCTAGAAACCTTCCGTTGCAGTAATTTTGGGAAGGGGCAAAAATACAGGTTAGCTGATTGGCCTATGATGGTGATAGACGGGCCAAATAAACCAATCAGATCAACGAAGCATATGACGTACTAACAGAGCGACGACGAAGAGGAGCCAATCGATAGATCAAACTCTTGCTGAAACCAGTCGGGAGAAGAGCAAAAACATCTTTTCCTCTGAGAAAAGCCTCCAGAGCAGTGTTTTGCTCTTCTTTCAGTGAAGAAATACTCTGTAATTCCGATAAAACTTGCTCGATAGCCACGCTAACGCTAGTTTCATCGGCTGAAGCCGCCATGTTCTTTAGACTGAACTGTCGCGCTTCTCGTTGCGTCACACCTCAACCCGCCTCAAAGCCAACGCTGATTGGACGTTCGTTTGGTGAACGGCTCCAAATTTTCTTTAACGGAGAGTCTCCAGACTGATCTGCGAGTGAAACCTTGAAAGCTCGCTAGATCAGGATGGTCTCACGAGGCTAGAAAAGACCCACGCTGAGCCAGAAATGCTTTCTAATAGGAAATTGTAAAGTAACAGGAGGAGTTAAGCTAAAAGCTGTAGCTTTGACCTCCTGTGCTGCTTGTTGATCTCCTCCTCTTTGTTCTCCTGTCAGATCAGTGAAGACACCAAGCCGTCTGCTGCTCCTTCCTCCTCCTCCTCTTCGTCCTGTCCGGCCCAGCAGTCTGCCTGCCCCAGCCAAGGTAATCATGTATGTATCAGGCTGTGCAGTGCAGAGGAAGTATGAATCAATCCTATTCTTTTTTAGCTGAATATGGAGCCTAAATGGCTCAGATCTACTTATAAACTCAGAACTAATTAAACACAAAAGTCTCCTTCCTTTTCTTTATCTCAGATGGGTTTTTTTTAGCATCTCTAACATGTTTGTTACAGAAATGACGAACAGAGAAGACGCCCCCCAACCCCCCGCCGCTCCCCCCCCTGTGGACGCTGCACTCCCCCCTCAAAGCTCAAACACAAACACACACCTCCTGTCTGCTCAACCTGCTCAGGTGAGGCACTAACACACCTGGTAACCTTGGTAACCAAAGACCAGGAACCGGAGGGGTGGAGGGGACCTGTCAGATTTTGCGTTGGATCCGACAGAAAACCGCGTCGGACGAGGTCATGCCACTTAGCGCTCAATGATCACAGGGTTCCTACAGCATAAGGCAAGTTAAATTCAAGACTTTTTAATGCCACTTGAAATAAAAATTTAAGACCAAATTCACAAGAAACACAAGAAAAACCCGCTTGCGACAACTTAACCCAAAGGTTTATTTTAACATAAACCACTGCACTAATGTTTCAAATGTTGAAAAGCTTCCCATACAGGAAGAAAGCTAAAAACACACAAATGACAGATATATTTAAACAATTATTTAACTGAATTCACAAACTTTGTTTTAGCAGGGAACAAAACAAATCAGTTTTAAAGCCACAACATAACCAGTGCTAAGTCTTTTTTGCAGCTATTTTTCTTTGTATGGTTTTCTTAGTATGTTTGATTTGGTGATAAGTGGAGGCGTTGCAGAGACAAGGGTGGAGAAAGAACGAAAAAAGAGCCAACGGGTTTGCGGGTTCACCCTGTATAACTCCAGTTCACAGCACATCATCTTAATGCCCTCGCTGAGACGAGCCAATTCACTAACGGGCAAGTGGCAACAGGGAAGAGGAACAAGAGAACGTTTTATTTTGATTCTCTGAAATCAGCTGTGTTGGTGGTTGGCTGCCTGCAGAGGGAGGAGACGTCCGGAGAATCGATCATCAGATCCCAGCTGGGCTTTGGGTAGCATGCAGGTCACACCATGCTGGACAGCCAGTAAAAACATGGAATCCGTTTTGTTTTTACACCAACTTTTTTAGGTTGAGGACAGGACAGTATGTATGGAGTCCTCAAAGTGGGTTAGATTCTGACCCGTGGTCCTTCGCCGCATGTCTCTGACAAACATGGAAGCCTTCAGTAAAGCACATTCAAATGAAAGTTACTCTGAATTAAAAACACTTATAATTTATTGATTAATTTCCTATTTAAAGTGCTTCCAGAAGTTTGAATTCCGAATATGACCAGACTTTTCCTTTAAATATCAATCCTTTTTTAGGTCCTGTAGTGATGGAATCTAGGTACTTTGTGTGGTTCTGGGGTCCATCAAGGAGCCCAGATCTGAGGTGTTTAGAGCAGACGTCATTTCATTATTTCCGCTGAGTCCAACAATAAAATAGACCATGAGGGCAAAAAAGTAAACCGTAAATTCCGGACTGTAAGCCGCTACTTTTTTCCCGCTGTTTGAACACTGCGGCCTATAATACAGTGCGGCTAATACATGTTTTTTTTTTATCAATGCGTGGAGCCGTCTGAAAACATCCAGCATCACCGGCGGGTTTCGGAAGGCTGGGCTGCTGCGGGATGAAGAGGATCGCGAGAGCGACAAGGATGAGACTGAAGTCAGCGACGGCATCCTGAAGCTGTTCCGTTCAGACACAGAGGAAGAGGACTTTGAGGGTTTTAGTGCCCAGGAGGAAGAAGAAAGTGATTAATGACTTTTCCTGGTCGGCTGCAATGTTCTGTGCGTTGTTCAATTAAAAGTACTGGTATTTGCAGGGTTATTTGCGTCTTACCGACACATACGTATATTTAAATGTGTTACAGGTAGTATGAAAAAATGTGTACCGTATTTGTTTGTTTTATCATACGGATTAAATAAAACGTAAAAAAAAAAAATGCTCACGTGTAATATCGTTATTTGTAAATATCTCATATAATGTGGGAAACCTGTGGCTTAAAATCCGGTGCGGCTTATAAAAGCACAAAATAGATTTTCTTTCTAAAATTAGAGCGGGCGGCTTGTAATCAGGTGCGCTCTATAGTCCGGAATTTACGGTAATTAATTAAATTTCTCATTCCTGTTTTCATTTATTGTAATAATAATTTTTTAATCTATGCAGGTAAAACTTTCTGCATTCATTCCGTCTCAACAACCAACGTCTTCATCTGCAGCCATCTGGTCAGTACGAGAACTGATGTTTTAACGGTTGTCTGAAAATTAGGAGGTTTAAGAGACATTGTGACATTTTTCACAGGATTTTATTGAGTAAATGAAATAAACTCCTGTGTAGCAGGATCAGGAATATAAACGTGGGCCTGATTTTACCCACAACTGTAAAAACTCTTCTTGTCTTCCAGCTGTATCTGCTCCGCTTCCTTCTCCAGTCACCAGGACGTAAGCTGTTCCTCCTGCAGCGCCATCTGGTGTCCTCTGCTCCCATCTCCTCTCTCCTCGCTGTCCTCTAACTTGGACTTCATTAACCGGCTGTCGCAGTGGCTCAGTTTGGCCTCCAGGGAGCAGAAGACGAGGAGAGGAGAAGGAGGAGTGGAGGAAGAGGAGCAGAGGTCTGATCCCAGAGACCATCAGTCTCATGTGGAGGGTACCGATGTCGGCAGTCGCAGGTGACTGATCCGCTCTCCCTTCTTAATTATTTATCTTTTAGTTAAAGTTCTTGTGGAAATTTCCTCTGCATAAAGCAGCAGAGATGCAGTCTTTGCTCAGAGCAGCATTTCTTCTCACTTATTAAAAGTTTATATGGTTTTATTTATCAAATACCTTCCTATGTTTGAGAAAACTACAAGAAATACCCCAAGAGCTCAATGAATGTTCATCCAGGAGGTATCAGTAGAACCTAGAGCAACATCCAAAGCTCCACAGGCCTCAGTTCAGGTCAGAGGTCAGGATTCAGGGATACGCTGGGCAGAAATGGGCTCAGTGGAAGAATTCCAAGACCAGAATCACTGCTGACCCAAGAGAAACTGAAAAACCTGCCTCACATTCAGCCACACATGTTTATGATCCCCCAAAACTTTAGGAAGTTCTTCTCTGGACCTTCTTTAAAGGTATAGTTGAGAATTTTGATTTTTTTTTTTTAAAGACTCGCCCTCTCATTAAAAAAAATCATTCATGTATCTGCTCCCAAGAGGAAAGGCCTATTAACCGCGTGCAAGAGCGTCTAGAGTCCAATAAAAAAACATATCTGCCCTGGAAAGTTAAAATATAGAGGTTGATAACTTTTATTAGCAGTGATGTGAAATGGATTTCACCAAACAGCATGCCAAACTTTACTTGTCATTTTTTGAACAGTATGTAATAATATTCATATTTAAAGTACTTTCAGAGGTTAGGATTCTGGCTTAGTTTAAGTCCAGATCCAGATGTTTTAGAATAATCTTAAACCAACTGTTGACACAGAAAAACCCTCCGATGTGACTCGATTAAAACAATTCAGAGATTTGTTTTAGAAATAGACCTGAAGCTTTAATAATATGGAGGATAAAAAGTGTCAAAATTAAGTAAATAAATACAGCATTAAATAAATAATGAATTATTGACAAATTTAATTATTTATTTAATGCTGTATTTATTTATTTAATTTTGGCACTTTTTATCCTCCATATAATAAAGAGGAGTAGTTCTTAGTTTTACTGGCTGAAAGAATCCAAGTTTGATTCCCAACTCGCTGATCTGTGCTGCACGTCTTCCTCTCTCAGCCCCATTTCCTGTTAGCCTACTTTCCAAAAAAGTCCAGTAGTTCCAAAAACAAGTTTTAAAAAAGAAACAAGAATCTGTTTTTAAATGTATTTATTTGATCAGTCAAGAGGTGCAGAAACATTCAACTCTAAAGGTAAAGATGAGCTGCAGCAGGTTTTAGCTTCTTAGCTAGCTGCCAACCGTCTCTGAGGAGCGTCAAAAGAAAAAATATTGAGATTAAGGTGAATTTTCTTCTAAAATGAAGATCATGACTTGCGTTCCATCAAACATGAAATGTCGATCATAAGATATATAAACATTAATTCTGCTAAAAATGCATTTTAAGCAGAATTAATGTCCAAATATTTTGTTTTTCTCATTTCCCTGACGAACGGCTAATAGAGTCGCTGCTAATAAGTTTTTTCTCCCACAGTCCGAGCTCCAGGGACGGCTACTTTGAGATGGGTCTGGACGATTCTGGAGAGGAGCTACTGTGCTCCTCTCCCCCTGCTCCGGTTGCAGAGGGGGAGGAGCCTGGCGGCCGCCTTGAGCTGCCCTGTGAGGAGAGGGCGGCGCTTCAGATCCAAAGAGTTCTATGGTGCTGTTGTGTTCTGGTCAGTGGAGAGGTGGAGCAGAGGGAGGCGTGTCTGGTGCTGACAGACCAGCTGTTCGGGCTGCTCCGCTGGTCACATGACTCCCTGTCGGCCAATCAGGAGAGAGGTAAACATCCAGCTTCAAGCTGCAAAAATATCCTCTTTGTTTGAAGAGTAAGAGTAAGGTGCATAGTTGCGTTTTAGGTGCATAAAAAGACCAAAAACGATTTAATCCTGATAAAACTTTATATACACCAAGTTTCCATCCTCACGGTATTTAGATCCGTTTTGAGCCTAAATAGAATTTCAGCACCGTAAATTGACGCCATCTGCTGTCAATACAACAGAGCTATTGCTAAAGCTACTAAATAGAGCCTTTTTTGCATATTTTTTTAATGTTTTTTCTGAGTGCCTCTCTCCAGCTCCCCCTGGTGGCCTTCCAGTGCACTCTACGTAGAAAAATCACTCAGTTTTTTTAAATGATGTAACACGTAGAAAGTTTACAATCTGGCTGAAAAAAAAAAACAGAAAACACATTTCGATGAGCTCCTGTTTAAATGTTTCAGCTTAGTATCATTCTGAACCTGTTCTCAGACCAGCAGCAGAACCCACTTGTGGACCAGTTCCTGGCGGGCCTTCAGGTGGACCTCCTGACGCCGTACTGCCAGGTCCAGCTGACCTCCCAGGCTGAGCTCCCTGACTCCTGTCTCTCCTTTGGAATGAAAGCGGGTCAGAGCCGCTGGTTCATCTTCTCTGAGGCCGAAGAGGTCCGACGGACCAGAACCGAGCTTTGTGCGCTGCTCAAGGTCAGACAGCCTCACCTTGAAAGTGGGATCAGAAATAACTGACCTGCAGACATGAAGCTGTGATCATCCTCAGGTTTCTCTGTTTTCCATCCTTCTGGTTTCTTCCAGGACGCTCAGAACCTCCCGGAGCCCCTCGATGCTCCTCAACTCCTTCCTCCTTCTCTTATCAGCTCTTGGGAGGTGGAGGAGAGTCGGGGAGCTCGGGGAGGATATCCCGCCCACATCCTTTGCTCCTCTTCCTCCTCTTCCTCAGACGCTCTCCACCTCTTGTCAGATGATCCCAGCCTCCTCTCGCTCCTCTTCGTCACACACAGACACCTCTGGGTGCTCAGGATGGATTTCAGAGAACTGTCTAAAAAAGAGAGTCCTAAACCCCACCAGTCCTCTTCCTCCTCCTGGTGCGGGCTTGTGCGTGTGTCCCTCGGCTCGGTGCTTCTTCACCCCAAAGAGAGAGATGCTCAGCTGGGAGATGGAACCAACCGCGTCTCCTGTCCTGACCCACGGCACGGCCAAAGGTGCAGACCTGAAATCTGTCCTCATGGTTGTTTTCTGTCAGTTCTGTCTGGGTTTAACCTTAATGTCTCCTTCAGGACTCTGCATTCAGTGGATCTGCTGGTTGCTGGTCAGGAGCTGCTGCTGCTCTTCCTTCTGCCCCAAGACAGGAGCTCCTTCCTGGGGGAGCTGAGCCAAAGAAGGGCTTCTCTGGAGGGGCTGAAGATGGTGGCCCTGCCCCGGCCGTGTGGGCCCTGTCCGGCTGGGGGTGGACCAGGTGAGGACCAGGCAGCTGCTTAGTCATCACAGCTCATCAGGTCGTCTCGTCTGACTGCTTATTGTGTTTCCAGGCTGCTGCAGATCCAAGGATCCCTGCTGCTGCCTCAGCGACAGAAAGCTTCACAGCTCCAGCAGGTAAATGGCTGCTTCTCTTCATCAGACCATCTGAACCAGGGAGGCCAAACTCAGGAGCTCTATGGCCATGTTCCTGAAACCTCTAACGCTACGTTCCGACCGCACATTACAGATGCAGCAGAAGCAGCTAGCTTACATGCAGAGTCAATGGTTGACGCGCATCGAGGCGCAGCAACAGGTCCTGAAGGAATGAAGGAATGTCCATGCAGGAATTTAAATGACGTTACATTTTGTTTCTTATTAAAAATCATTGGCTGTGGTTTATGTTGTGACTCATTTAGGTTAGATAAAAATAAGCGTATGCTGATCTGACAGCGCATGCTTTTCTGACAGACCTCCTTTTGTTGAGTTTTTTTATAATGGCAGAACAGATCACACTCTCCCCAACAGACTGATAGCAGATATAATGACACTGAAGGAACTAAGCTAGATGCCGTCACAGCTGCGTCTGCAGTTTCCTCGTGAACAGCAAGGTGTTTACATACCTGCTGTACTGATCCGGTTCCCGCGGAGTCGGAGATTAAAGTAACCTTCTCTTCAAAGAGTTTGAGCTTTTGAAGATATTCTGTCATTCAGAGCTCAGCAGGGGGTTTTAGACAGCTTTAGATATAAAGCATGTACTTCCTGAGGAAGAAGCCCCATAGAGAGCGTTCTGAGCAGCTGTCTCACTGCGTGGTGTGGAGGCTGCAGCGCCTCAGACTGGAAGAAGGTGAGAACAGCAGAGAGGATCATGGGGGCTCCTCTTCCCTCCTTTAAAGACATTTCATCCCACCGAGGAAAGGTCCAGCAGAATCTTTTTTTTCAGGGTTCCTGCGGGTCCTTAAGAAGTCTTAAAAGGCATTGAATTCTTTAAAATAAAACTAAGGCCTTAATTGGTATTAATATGTCTTAAATCAGTCTTTCGTAGGTCTTAATTTTTAAAACATCATAAATAGGATTCTTTTTATTATGATTTATTTTTGTAATCTAAATAAAACATTAAAATTTAAAACTTTTTTTTTTTTATTAATAAAAAAAATAACGGCTCACCATTATTGGTTCCGGCCCGATAGCGGAACCAATAAAAGCGTTGTTGCGGTCGGGACATTTGGGAGATGCACCATTAACTTTTTGTCTGGAAAATATGAGCAAGTGTAAATGGAACCAAAATTGTCTCCAGCCAAGAGTTTTCTCCATGGCTAAAACCAGGGAACATACATGAGGCTCAGTGGATTTATGCAAGAAGTCATTCAAGCTCGGAACGATGGGAATTAAGGCAGTGGAGTCGCACAAGCGAAGCACGAAACACAAAGCGTCAAAATGGAGTTAGAGAGAAACAGCCGGTATTTCTCAGTTTAGTTCCACCCTTGTCTCTGCAACGCCTCCACTTATCACCAAATCAAACATACTAAGAAAACCATACAAAGAAAAATAGCTGCAAAAAGACTTAGCACTGGTTATGTTGGGGCTTTAAAGCTGATTTGTTTTGTTCCCTGTTAAAACAAAGTTTGTGAATTCAGTTAAATAATTGTTCAAATATATCTGTCATTTGTGTGTTTTTTAGCTTTCTTCCTGTGTGGGAAGCTTTTCAACATTTGAAACATTAGTGCAGTGGTTTATGTTAAAATAAACCTTTGGGTTAAGTTGTCGCAAGCAGGTTTTCTTGTGAATTTGGTCTTAAATTTTTATTTCAAGTGGCATTAAAAAGTCTTGAATTTAACTTGCCTTATGCTGTAGGAACCCTGTTTTTTTGTTTTTTTTACAGTGTCCTGTCTGGGAATGTGGCAATAAAAATAACTGTATTGCTGTGAAAAAGAGCCCAACAGATTTTACTTTCACAAGTGGAGCAGTACGGCTATCGCCATAGAGTTCCGCTTGATTTATGCATGTAAGAAGCTTTATAAGAAAAGGGAGAAAAGACGAAAGAAAGAGGAGATAAAAGGGAGACGATGATAAAATGTCTTCTGTCTGCTTCTGCAAAGAGATGTAAAAAGAATGGCTCAACCAACGGATCGCTGAAGTATAAGTAGTATTATTTAACCTGACACGTATAATGTGGTAGCTACGGAAGAGGATTAGGGCAACTGGGAAAAAAAAAGTTAACTGATTTGTTTAATTTTATTTCAGTACAGTATGGGGAAAAAAAGTCAGGATTCTGACTTTTTTTTCTTGTCAGAATTCAGTCAGAATTCTGAGAAAAAAGTCAGAATTCTGAGATGAAAGTCAGATTTCTGACTTAAAAAAAAATTTAAAAATCTGTTAATTTTATTTTTTTCCCCAGTGACCCTAATCCTCTTCCGTAGGTAGCTGTAGATAAGAATAAAGGGGTAAAAAAGTGATGAATGTTTCAAACTAAATCCTATCTCAGTCTTATGTTTACATTTTTTCACAGTGTTTACATTTTATCACTGCTGCACTTTAAAAATGGAAATGTCTTTAGAGCTGTACTAAACAAAATTTCTATTTGTATACACTTACAAAATAACAATCAAGCCTGTCTAAGTCCTTTATTTCTGATATCATGCCTGGACCTTACAAACAGACCAGTTTCTAACCTGATATTCTGAACTTTGGCTGAATCATTCTAATCTCTCTCTGTAGTTGGGACCCGTTCAAGCTCCAAACTGAGGACAACCAGCCGTCTCCCCACCTGGTTCCAGGTCTCTCACCTGGACTGAAGCTCCTGGCCGGACTCACAGGAGAGCAGCTGCCCACCTACTTCAGCAGATATATAGCTCTGGTGAGACTTTTCTAAGATCTGCCTTAATAACTAAAAAACACAGAAACATCAAACCTCTAATTAGAGACTTTTATACAGTGAGGAAAATAATCCTTCTTATATAAATAGAAAATTGATATAAGAAGGAAAAATTAAGATCAGGATTTCATAATTACGAGATACTGATCTTGTTATTATGAGATGAGCAGTCCGTTTTTTTTTTTCCTTTGGTGATTCAATGCGCTTCCTTATAAATGTGACATCACATAGATACTAAATGAAAAAGGAGAAAAGAGACAAGAGAACCCTGTAATATCCTGTGATTCTCTCCTCCATCATCAGTCCAGGGGGGAGGACCTGAGACACGTCCTGTGGCTCTCTGTGGTTCTCTATAAGGCTCCAGAAACCGAGCTGACCTGCTGTCTGCTACTCTCTACGGACGCCATCTACTTCCTGCTGGAGGACTCTGCCACCGCTCTGGGGAACCACTCAGGTGGGACAAAAAACCAACTGGTTCTGTCTAAACCAGAGTCCCTGCAGTCCAGGAATGTGCTCAGGTTCTTACGGTGGCCAAGGCTGCAAACACTGATTAATTAAATTATTTCACAGGAAATTTAAAGGTTCCACAAACTCAAGAAGGAGATTAGCAAACAGAGAGAAAATGCTGCCAATGAGAAAAGCAGCATTTACAGAAAGTAGAAAACAAAGTGGAAACATGCAAAAAAACAGGCGACATTCTGCAAATACATCAATGATGCTAACGCAGAAACATGAAACGCGTTCAGAGGGAAAATGCTGCAAGTAGCAAAAACAGTTGCTGGTTATAAAAACTGCAAACTAGCTACTCAAAATGGAAGGACCATTAGAGGGAGCTGATCATCAACTGATGTGGAACCGGACCCTCCCAGTAAAGGCATAAACTGGAATCAATGGTTTGATCTGTAGCTCAAATGGTAGCTCCTGTTCCTAGCTCCTATCCTTCATCTTTCAATGGGTCAACAGTAAGAACACTATCCACCGCAGGAAAGAAGCCTCAGACTGCTGTGCTGAATCCTTACGGATGTCATTACAGGATGGACACACGCATGAATGATGCTGGTTAAACTAGGACAGCCTTAATAAAAATTATGTTTCTCTATTCAACTCTGTGAGGTGAGCCGTGCCTACATGGTCTGTCATGCAAAGGATTGTGGGAAACCATAAAGCTCCCTATGCTAACTGCATTAGGGATGGAAAGCATCCTGGTCCTAGCTCCTTCCTCACTACCAGCACTATTCGGACAGCAAATAAATAAAAACAATGATATTCTTCACGATCACTGAGTCTGGGAGCGTCCATTTTTGCCCAAATATAGTAACCCCTCCCTCCTGCCATCTTCCAGCAGTGACGTCACGGTGCGGTAAGCCTAGCGTCATTCTCCCCGCTTTACAAGCTAAATCAATGGGAACTACTAGACACATCTGCAATCAACAACAATTATTGAAGATTTCCAGAGGACTTCACCATTGAAATTCACCAGAGCTATAGTGAAACTGACAATGCCCACGTGCATGGCAGCTGGATGCTGGAATACATCGGGTTAAAGTGAAAAAAAAGAGTTATTCCACCTTTCTGATTCCTGATCCTCCACGGACGGGTTGGTTGTTGGATCGCCAACTTGAAGAGGGAGGATTTGCCATCGAACTTCTGGCCAGAGAAAAAACCCGTAATATGTAGCCAACATTTGGAAGAAGAATGTTTTCAAGATGACTTGGATAATAGCGCGTTGTGACAAACACCAGATACAGCACTGGGACTTGATCAACAGCCGATACCGCACCGTGACGTCACAAACCAGTAGGTGGCAGTAGTGTTCTTTGACAAACATGGATGCCTCCAGTAAAGAACATTCACATGAAAATTACTCTTAATTAAAAACACTGATCATTTATTGAACAGGATGGAATAATTTCAGATTTAAAGAACTTTCAGAAGTTTGAATTCTATGTATGACCTGACTTTTTCTTTAAAAAAAGACACTTAAATTTATTAATTCCTCCAAATTTCCTCTGGACGGCTTCCTATTTTAAGTGTTTTTTTATACAGATTTGGTCCTTAGGTGTAACGCAGAGTGACAGTGTTGTTCTGGTCCTGTATAATGATCGTCTCCCCCTAGTGGTCTGGAGCTTTTCCAGCATGTAGTGCTGGTTTGCAGCTTTCCATAACTGACACTTTTCATCTTCTCGTAGCATTTTTTCTTAGCATCCTCATCATAAGCATCATCTCTGTATTTTCTAGCAGGTTGTTGCAGCGTTTACGTTTTCAGTGATAACAGCTTTTCTCATTTAAAGCATTTTTGTGTGTTTATGTTCATCCAAGTTTGTATTTTTCATAAAATGAGTATTTTCATAGCTTTTGAATCAGCTGTGTAATCACGTATTTTCATGCTGTTCATCCCTTTGCCACCGTGGATTCTGCAGATCAGTTCATTCTAGGGATTTAATCCTGATCTATTGTGTCCAAAGCGTCTCATGGTTTTGTCTCTGTCTGCCAGCGATGGACTCATCGATCTCTGGAGACCCGGAGACAAATCTCTGCTGCTGCCTGAGCATCAGACTCTCTGAGCTGCAGGCTGTCAACGTTGGACTGTTTGACCAGTACTTCAGAGTTGTAGGTGAGTGGACCGGGACTCGCCCGCCCATCCCGTCTCCTCAGACTTCCCACAGCTTTAACTGTGTGTGTCCTGGCAGGACGCTCGGCTGACCAGATCGTCTGCTGCCTCAGCAGGGACAGCTACGGGACGAGTGTCTTCCTGCAGGAGCTGATGTCTGCTCTCAGCCTGCAGCAGCAGCTCCCTCCACCGGAGCCTTCGGATCAGGACTTCTACTCCCAGTTCACCGACACAAACGCGGGTAGGAAAACTCATTCACAGCCTCAGACACCAGGTGATTATGGCGTGGAAAACAGAGCGTATCTCCCCCTGCAGGTAAGATGCAGAACTACGAGCTGATCCACAGCAGCAAGGTGAAGTTCATTTATCCCAGCGAGGAGGAGATGGGAGACCTGACCTTCATCGTGGCTGAGAGGAAGACTTCAGGCAGCACGGCCTCTTCATCCTCCAGCTCCTGCAGCATCCTGCTCTACCTGCTGGTCTTTCAGGTGATAAAGCCTTTTTCTTTTACTGCTGGAATTGCAACAGTTTGGATTCTCAGATGTTTTTTTAATGAATCCAAAATCATAAATAAAGTAAGAAAATTTATTTTCTTGTATGGGAAGTGGGGGGGAAATATTTAGGAACAATTCTAAAAATAATCCAGTGGGGATCGTCCTAAACATTGGATCAGGATGTTCAGATTTGACCACATATTGCTGTGGTTCAGCAATATAACCACAGCTGGATCAATTAAAGCAGCTTCTCCTAAAAGAGGGATTAACTCGGCTGTAGTAATACTGTTGTTCTAAAGTAAGAAAATATGGAAGGAAATACCTGCTACTTCCTTTTGATTTAGTTTTTCTTTTTGTAATTAATTTTTAAAAAAGTGGAATATATCACAAAGTTAACTGGGGTAGATACAAAACTACAATTCCCGCTTTTCTTTGTTTTAATTAGATGATGCTGGTTGGATGATGGGGGGTTTGGGAGGAGGAGGTTTATGATGCATTAAAAACAAATTGAGAACAACAAAGTAGAGGTAAAGCGTTGGTGGAGAAACAATCCGGTGGACTTTGTTTCCAAGTTTGAACACATTTCGCTTCCCATCCAGGAAGCTTTTTAGAATCACAATGTCAGAAATAGTGTTGAGTTCCAGGCTTCATAGAGTGGACCTCGAACTCAACGCCATTCCTGACTTTCACTCTCCAGACCTCTAGGTGGCAGTAATAAGCTGGAAGTATCAGCGGATTCATGCAGTAGAAGTTAGCAATGTTCCACCTAACAGTAATTTAATTCAATTCAGTTTATATCTATAGAGCCAATTCACGTCATGTCACCTCAAGGCACTTTCCAGTTCACCAGATCATTCAGTCAGATTGATTCAAAGTTTTCTATCTAAGGAAAACCAGCTGATTGCATTGACTCATTGACTCTTCAGCAATCCCTCACACTAAGCATGCTTGTAGCGACAGTGGAGAGGAAAAACTCCCTTTGAACAGGAAGAAACCTCCAGCAGAACCAGGCTCAGTGTGAGCGGCCATCTGCCGATAAGCAGAAATACAAAAAGCAGCTGTAAAAGGCGGCCCCGTCCAGGAAACACACAGCCAGGCAGACGAGCTCTGAGCCAGCTCCCATGTCAGAGGATGAAGAGAGCACATCCAGTTAGTCACAGTCAGAGAAACAGGACTACACTGAAAAACAGGTCAATCTCCAACATCTATAAACAAAGGTGTTGATGGCAGCAGCACAGCTGATATTTCTCTCCAGGATGGAGTCACAGCCAAACAGGAACAGACCAGATGAAGCTACTATGAGAAAAAGCAGAGAGAGCAGAACGTTAGAAAGGACAGTAAAGTCCTGCCTCAATGAGTGCTGGTTAAGCAGCCATGGAAGGTCATAAAAACGAAAAAGGAAAATCAAACCAATCTGCCCTAATCTTCACACAGAAGATCTAAAGACACTCATTTCCTCCTGATGATGCCTCCTGAAGGAGCACCACAGAGCCTCTATATCTGAAGCAGAGGCTCGCCTCCTCCTGAAAGCATCCGTGGTTCGGCCCTGGTAACCTGAAGTTCCTCTTCCTGCAGGTCCAGATCCCCAGCCAATGTTCTGCCACCGCTGTCTGTTCTCCGGTCCTCCAGCCGAGGACTCTGATCCTCACCAGCACTGACGTCTTCCTGCTGGACGAGGACTACGTCAGCTATCCTCTGCCAGACTTCGCCAAGGAGCCTCCGTCCAGGTGAGCCGCGCTCCAGTCTGGTCTCTCCTGTAAAGTAACTGTAAACCTAAAGGATCTAGAGATGAGTTTAAATGGTTTAAACGGGATTTTTCTAAATGAGAGTAAAATAATAATCAGTCAGTGATAAAAATCATTTAGTTCAGCTTAAACACTGAAAATCTGTTTTCTTTTCCCATAAAATGTATGAATGCTGGAACTTTTTTATTTTATCTACACAGACATGCTGTGATGCATAGATGTGGATAATTTTATTACTTTGTTTTAAAAGTTGCTGTAATGCCAAATGTATCATATTTGATACAAACGGTTTCTGAAATGTTTTGCGTCTGACACCTTTTGCATAATTTAATGGTAAAAACTTTGCTCAAAATCCTATTGTACACAATCAGATATACCTGATAACAGAGGGCAGAAGACTACACAAAAAATAATCTGGACTTATCGCATAGTAATAAATTATTAATATCAAAAATGTTTTTCTGTTTTTTCTTTTTACATATTTTGTTAAAAGGCCAAATAAGGACTTTAAACCAAAAAAAAGTAATTTTCTGTTTTGTTTTATTCTTGGATCAGGCTTTAAAGGGTTAAAAGGTTTACAGCAACACCTTTAATTACGTTGTCTTTCGGAAGCAGGACAAAGAAAGCAGGTTAAGGGCCGGATTGCTGCCTTCTGTAAATATTTCTTATTGGCCAAAATATTTCAATTAAATTCAGTTTATTTCTCAATTTCACATCATGTCATCTCAAAGCACTTTCCAGTTCACCAGATCATCCAGTCAGATTGATTCAGTTTTCTACACTGGAAAAAAATCAAAATCTAGATAAGTCATTTTTTCTTAGAATAAGTGCATTTGTTCTTGAATTGACGAGATAAAAGAGACATTTTGCCAATGGAACAAGACAATTTAAGATTAAAATGAGAAAACACAATGATAATTGTCTTATTTCAAGTGTATTTTATCTAAATATCTTATTTTAAGAGTAAAATAACTCATTCCGTTGGCAAAGTATCTCATTTACCTGCTCAAATTAAGGGTGAATGCGCTTAATTAAAAACCTTTTTACTTATTTCTAGATCGTTTTTCCAGTGTATCTGAGGAAAACGAGTTGATTGCTTTAACTCTTCAGCAATCCCTCACACTAAGCATGCTTGTAGCGACAGTGGAGAGGAAAAACTTCCTGTGAACAGGAAGAAACCTCCAGCAGAACCAGGCTCAGTGTGAGCGGCCCTTTCAGCACAACCTCTGATTACAAAATGTAATTGAAATCAGACCACCTCGTATATTATGGCAAACTCAGTACCCCCCCACCCCCCCTTGGATAAATGTGGATGTGTGTATGTATAGATGTAGTAGTACATGTGTGTATATATATGTCTTTGTAGTTATATGTATATGTGTAAACAAGTGTATATTTATAATATTACAAAAAAAAGTAAGAGAGAATAAAGCAAAAAAAAAAAATGCTGCTTTTCACGTTCAGAAAAAGGATTTTTGTAACTTATAAATGTTGTAGACAATTGAAAGAAATCTAAAAAAAAAAAAGAAAAGAAATCAGACCAAAGCACTGAATCTTAATGAGCAGCAGAAATGGTGTTTTTAAACAATTTTATCAGTTTATTTAAGCATTTATATGAGGAAATCTCTATAAAGGCGTGAACCATGCGTCCTTCAGGCAGCTGGCAGCTGAACATGAACACTACAGGATGATTTATACTCAAACCAGGTCGTGTGTGCTGCCATGAATATTAGTTTATTATTACTAATGAATATTAGTAATAATAAATAAATGGCTGGTGCAGCATAAATGGGTCTAAGCTGCTCTGATATCGAAGTAATTCAGTTTATGTTATTCCTGCTTTTTATGTGGTAAACATTATTCCAAGTGTCATGTTTGCTCTCTGCCTCCATCTTCTCCCGCTGCAGGGAGCGCTACCAGCTCTGTGAGGCGCGGCGGATCCGGGATCTGGACCGGGTCTTACTGGGATACCAGACCTACCCTCAGGCTCTGACCCTGGTCTTCGACGACCTGCCGGGCCCCGACCTGCTCTGCCACCTCACCATGGACCACTTTGCTGCCACAGGAGAAGAGGCTCCGCCCACAGGGGGGGCGGCCAGCCGCGGGGCCGAGGGGGAGGTGCAGTGGTGCGTCTTCGTACCCGGAGCCGACAGCAGAGAGAGGCTGATCTCGCTCCTCGCCCGTCAGTGGGAGGCACTGTGCAGCCGGGAGCTTCCTGTGGAGCTCACTGGCTGATTGGATGATGAGGGAGCAGCTGGACGCACTGATTAGATTCAAGGCATTTTAAGGCCTTCGCACAAATATCTGCAGCTGGAAAGCATGGTGGATTCAGAACGGAAAGTTTTTAAAAAAGAAAAATAAACTGGTGTTGCGCTACAGGGGGCGCTGCAGCATGTCCACAGGGAGATTAACCTTACATAACCTTTAAAGAACTGAGCTCTGCACAAACCCCAGGCGCAAGCTGGTGGGGAAGAAAAAACATTCCTTGGTGACTCCAAAGCTGCTTGATTTTCTCTCAAAAACGCTTTAAAACCAAAAGTTGCTTTGATTTTTGTTTCTATCGATGTTTTTGGGTTCGGTTCTGCTGCAGAAACAGGTTCTGCATTCGCACACAGACTCACACAGAGTTGCTTGGCACAATCTAAACATTTTATTCCTTGCACATTATAACAGAAGGAGCAGTATTAATGCACTGTATAAAGCTTTTTATTATTATTATTAATTTAATGGGTTTTTTTGCTTTATGACTGACGGGATGTTTTCCTGAAGCTGGAATTTGTTGTAAAATTAAGGTTTCTGACAATGTTTCCATCATGAACTCCTATATATATATATATATATATATATATATATATATATATATATATATATATATATATATATATATATATATATATATATATATATATATATATTATAATTACTGTTAACATAGTGTTATTTTTTATATATCTACACAATGTCAGTGTTTTCTTTTATGTTTTTGTACATTTCTGTCCTTTAGTGACTGAATGGAGAACCGGTCGGTTTGCTGATGGACTAAAGGAGAACGCCACTAAATTAAAGTGAAACTGAAACCGTCTTAAAAATACTTTTTTTTTTTTTTTTTTTTAAGAGTCAGCAGGTTTGAGCCAGAAATGAACGTAGAACATCAGAGCTGGGATCACAGTGGAGAAATAAGAACTTTAAAGGAAAAGTCTGGTCAGCAAAGAATGATCAATGGATCATTATTTATACCTAAAACTAATACGTTTGCGGTGATACATGGGCGTAGGTTTGCATAGGGACCATAGGGACATGTCCCTACCAAAGTTTTGAACCGACCTAATTGTCCCTACCAATAATTGGATGTGAGCAACATGTTTATAATTTACAGCAGTAGTTGTTGCAGCAGTGGCTTTATTCCTCTCGCAGCTCCTCTGCCTGCTCTCTCCTGTCCCTTTCATGTAGCAGCGCATGGAACTGCTGCGCTGTTTAACTCCACTCTCCTTGGTTGTTCTGCCTTAGGTCCCGCCTTCTCTCTCCTTGATAGGCTGTTTTCTAGTCCGTCCGTGCTTGGAGCACAAAATTGAAAATGTATTCACACTAGAATGCCACGGTTACTGCAATGAATATTAGGCTGCAAAACTAGTCCCAATAAAAAAAAAAGGAATATCATGTACACTAAAAAACAAAAACCTCTTTTTTTTTTTCTTTTTTTAAACAAAATATTCTGAGTCAGCCAGGATTTCTGAAGACTGTTGGAAAAATGGGCAAATAAAGGCTGTAAGCCATCGACATTTCTGATTCTTAGCCACAGTCAGACAACTAAAAAAGAAAATGTGAGGGTTTCCTTTTTACCGATATTTAGTGGCTATTACTGTTTTCATTTTTTGATCACTCTTTCAGGTATAATTATTAGCAGGTGTTATTTCTTTTATAGAGTAGCCTATAACAACAAGAAATGGTACCTAAACATCTGCTATTTTTTGTTTTAAAAGCATAATTAGGGTTCCACACAATAATAGTAATGTAATTGACTATTTCTACTTCTAGAAATAGGATAAAGATAAGAACAAACAGAGGAAAAATATTAACATTGATTTTATCTTACATAGATTTCCACACAGTCTATAAGTAAAATACTATAAACATTAATGTCTGGTAAAAATGCTTGAATCTGACTGTTTATTTTGGATATTATTACATTACAGATGAGATAGTGTTATATTGTCTTTTATAATTGTTAAAAGTGATTTTATATTTGAATACACTAGGCTCATTCTCAGTGTTGTGTTTGTAGATGATGCCACTAAAAAAGAAAATAGACATAAGGAGCTATTTAAACAGTCAGACAGTAGCAATATAGGACAATGATAAAAGGTTGTGTTACATTTAATCCTTTACTATTAAAACTGCACTTATACATTATATATTTATAGGAAACACAGATATCCAGTAATAATGATCGAGGGCAGCTTGTAGGTGAAGCAGCTGCCCTTCAGTGCTTCAGGTGATGTCTAAATAAACCAGGTGAAACTAAAATATTTCCACATGAGGAGTACTGGATGGAGAATATTGACAGACAAAAACATTTTTTTTTATCTTATATATTATATATATATATATTGTATTTTAAATATTTTGATATAATTACTGATCTAAGTGGGTTGCTCTGTTGGAGAAAGGCATATTTTACATTTATATTATGTTTTATAGTCTCTATTCTTCAGTTAATGATGAATTACGATTATTGAAATAATCAATGAATGCGATTCATTTTTTCAGCCCCAGATAAAATACATGAAATGGGCGACACAGAGTAACTACAGCCCAGATGTTCAACTTTATAGTGAAGTTAATATTTTAATGAATGTATTATTTTACTTGATACAGAGAGAGCATAGTAGGTAAAAATATAAGAGTGGGGTTTAACTCTGCATAATTCTATATCTTCAGAAGAAAATACTGTATTTACCTTCTCTCTTAGTCGTTCAAATGAAACCGTTTTCAAAGTGGAAAACAGTCCTAATTCCACATTGATCAGAGCCGGTAATACTTCAAACATAAACAGCATCTAATGAGTGTAAAGCTTATAAAGTTTTTATTAATGTAGCAAAATGATGCTTTTCTCTTTTAACAATGAATTCCTCTTATCAGTAAGGATGCTCACACCGTGCATAAAAAAGGGCATGCATATTGCATAGCACCAATGACAACCGACTGATAGTGTCCCTACCAAAGTTCAAATCAAACCTACGCCCTTGCGGTGATTTAATGACTTTAGCGTTAATCAGTAATCAGCGCCATTCTTCCCGCTTTACAAGCAAAATCAATGGGAACTACTAGACACATCTGCAATCAACAACAATTATTGAAGATTTCCAGAGGACTTCACCATTGAAATTCAGCAGAGCTATAGTGAAACTGACAATGCCCACGTGCATGGCAGCTGGATACTGGAATACATCGGGTAAAAGTGGAAACAAAAAAAGAGTTATTCCACCTTTCTGATTCCTGATCCTCCACGGACGGGTTGGTCGTTGGATCGCCAACTTGAAGAGGGAGGATTTGCCATCGAACTTCTGGCCAGAGAAAAAACCCGTAATATGTAGCCAACATGTGGAAGAAGAATGTTTTCAAGATGACTTGGATAATAGCGCGTTGTGACAAACACCAGATACAGCACTGGGACTTGATCAACAGCCGATACCGCACCGTGACGTCACAAACCAGTAGGTGGCAGTAGTGTTCTTTGACAAACATGGATGCCTCCAGTAAAGCACATTCACATGGAAATTACTCTGAATTAAAAACACTGATCATTTATTGAACAGTATGTATTAATTTTATATTTAAAGTACTTTCAGAAGTTTGAATTCTGAATATGAGCAAACTTTTCCTTTTAAATAAAGACATAACCAGACATGACCCTGTGGCCAGAGCGGAGAATAACTGAAGGAAATTAACTAATGAGAAATTTGAAAACAAAGTCCAGTTAACAGGTGATATTGGTTTAAAGCTTTGAGATTCAAATAATATTTTTACCAAGAAATCAGGAGGAAATGGATATAAACTCACGATAAATCATAACTCCTCTGGTCAGAGCCCTATTTGCTTTTTTCCTGAAATGATTATTACTCTTTAAATAACTATAATAAACAGGATTGCCACATTTAATCTAAATTTAGCAGGGAAACGGTGCAAAGTTAAAGCACTGGACTCAGTGACTGGAGTCCTAATCAGTTTATTTTACCTCAGTGATGTCAGAACAGTATGTTTGGCACTAAGATGCTTCCTGTCTGATAGGATGCGTCATTATCAGGTGTAATCAGTCCCTAATATAAATGTTTCTGCTCGTTCTTAATGCTACTATTATAAACATAATGTTCTGTTTCTATCAACCAGAGTTATCATCATATCTCTACAGGCCTGAACTTTATCTTTCCTCCTAACCTTGTGAATCACACAATGAAGATTATAACTTATCCTGACAAAGGGATTTCCGCTGCAACTAATCTGACCTCTGAGACAAACAAAACGTTGCAATTTATACCTTATAGCTTATAATGGAGAAGTATGTAAATCTTAATAAGTCATTTTTTCTTAAAATCAGTGCATTTTTTCTTGAATTGAGGAGGTAAGTGAGACACTTCTCCAATGGAACAAGACAATTTACATTAAAATTAAGAAAAAGCAATTGCATTGTCTTATTTCAAATGCATTTGATCTAATTATCTTATTTTAAGAGTAAAAATACTCATTCCATTGGCAAATCATCTAACTTACCTACTCAAATTCATGGTAAATACACTTCATTTAAGTCATCTTTACTTATTTCTAGATTGTTTTTGCATTACACTGTGAAGAATGACGGGTTGAATCTACTAAACCAAGTGATATTAACTGGTTCCACTAAACTCTGTTCTTTAAATTCTGCATTAAATGTTATATGTTTACTTAACATAATGATCTCTGTAAAGAAAATTAAGTTTTTCACTTAAATCCAGCGCTGTGGACTTAAGTTTGGACACGTACATTTAGATTTCCCAGTAAGAGAAGTAAAATCTACCAGATTCTTTATCATTAATGGATTTTATTGGTGGAATTTAACATCCTGACTTTAAAGTTAAACAATCTAGTGAAATTAGGTATTTATAGATTTAACATTTTCTTTTATTTCTATATATTCAAAACAAATCTAATATCTTTAACCAATTTGACTACTTTAAAAGTATATTTTTAGAGCAATACGATGTGCTTTGGTTAATAAGGACTCCAGAGGTGATCGACTTTAAAGCGCAGGTCCATATAACAGACTTACACTGCAAAAAATGGAAATCTAAATAAGTCATTTTTGCTCAAATTAAGTGCGTTTTTTCTTGAATTGAGGAGGTAAGTGAGACACACTGCCAATGGAACAAGACAATTTACATTTAAAATAAGAAAAAAACAATTGCATTGTCTTA